AAGGGAAATTCCTCAACATAATTGAGGGCATTTATATAAAGCCAACAGCCAACATCATCCTAAATGGAGAGAGTTTGAAAGCATTCCCCTTGAGAACAGGAAGCAGACAAGGATGCCCTTTATCACCACTCTTACTCAACATAGTGCTGGAGGCTCAAGCCAGAGCAATTAGGCCAGAAAAAGAAATAAAGGGCATCCAAATTGGTAAGTGTCTTAGTCATCTAGTGCTGTTATAACAGAAATACCACAAGTGGATGGCTTTAACAAAGAGAAGTTTATTCTCTCACAGTTCAGTAGGCCACAAGTCCAAATTCAGGGCATCAGCTACAAGGGAATGCTTTCTCTGTTGCCTCTGGAGGAAGGTCCTTGTCATCAATCTTCCCTTGGTCTGGGAGCTTTTCTGCACAGGAACTCAGGTCCAAAGGCCGGGCTCTATTCCCGGCACTCCTTTCTTTGTGGTATGAGGTTCCGAATTCTCTGCTTGCTTCCCTTTCATCTCTTGTAAGATAAAAGGTGGTACAGGCCACACCCTAGGGCAACTACCCTTACACTGGATCAGGGATGTGACCTTAGGAAGGGTGTTATACAATCCCACCCTAATCCTCTTTAACATAAAAGTACAATCACAAAGTGTAGGACAACCACATAACACTGGGAATCATGGCCCAGATAAATTGATACACACATTTTTGGGGGACATAATTCAACCTATGACAGTAAGGAGGAAGTAAAATTATCTCTATTTGAAGATAATATGATCTGATACGCAGAAAACCCCAAAGAATCCACAAGAAAACTACTGGAACTAATAGAAGATTTCAGCAAAGTATCAGTATACAAGATCAACATACAAAAATCAGTTGGATTCCTCTACACCAACAGAGAGAACTTCCAAGAGGAAATCACCAAATCGATACCATTTACAATAGCCCCCAAGAAGATAAAATACTTAAGAATAAATCTAACCAGAGACGTAAAAGACCTACACAATGAAAACTACAAGACACTACAGCAAGAAACCAAAAGAGACTTGCATAAGTGGAAAAACATACCTTGCTCATGGATAGAAGAGTCAACGTTGTAAAAATGTCAATTCTACCTAAAGCCATCTACAGATACAATGCAATCCTGATCCAAATTCCAATGGCATTTTTTAATGAGATGGAGAAACAAATCACCAACTTCATATGGAAAGGGCAGAGGCCCCAGATAAATAAAGCATCACTCAAGAAGAAGAACAAAGTGGGAGGCCTCACACTACCTGATTTTAGAACCTATTATACCGCCACAGTGGTCAAAACAGCCTGGTACTGGTACAACAACAGATACATAGACCAATGGAACAGAATTGAGTATCCAGACATAAATTCATCCACCTATGACCAGCTGATATTTAACAAAGGCCCAAAGTCTGTTAATTAGGGAATAGACAGTCTCTTTAACAAATGGTGCTGGCGTAACTGGATATCCCTCTGCAAAAAACTGAAACAAGACCCATACCTCATACCATGCACAAAAACTAACTCAAAATGGATCAAAGACCTAAATATAAAATCAAAAACAATAAAGATCATGGAAGAAAAAATAGGGACGCTAGGAGCCCTAATACATGGCATAAACAGAATACAAATCATAAATTAACAGTGCACAAACACCAGAAGAGAAACTAGATAACTGGGAGCTACTAAAAATCAAACACTTATGCTCATCCAAAGACTTCACCAAAAGAGTAAAAAGACAACCTACAGACTGAGAAAAAAATTTTGGATACGACAAATCCAATCAGCATCTAATCTCTAAAATCTACAAGATACTGCAAAACCTCAAAAACAAAATGACAAATAACCCAGTTAAAAAACAGGCAAAGGATATGAACAGGCACCTCACCAAAGAAGAAGACATTCACGCAGCTAACAGACACATGAGGAAATGCTCATGATCATTAGCCATTACAGAAATGTAAATCAAAAGCAAATCAAAATTACAATGAGATACCATCTCACCCCAACAAGCTAGCATTAATCAAAAAAACACACAAAATAATAAATGTTGGAGAGGTTGTGGAGAAACTGGGACACTTATACACCGTTGGTGGGAATGTAAAATGGCACAACCACTTTCGAAATCAATTTGGCTCTTCCTTAAAAAGCTAGAAACAGAAGTACCATAAGATTCAGCAAATCCCACTCCTTGGAATATATCCTAGAGAAATAAGAGCCATCACACGAATAGATCACTGAAGCACTGTTCACGAAAGCAAAAAGATGGAAACAGCCTAGGTGCCCATTAAAGAACAAACGGATAAACAAATTATGGTATATCCACACAATGGAATACTATGCACGATAAAGAACAACAATGAATCCGTGAAACATAACATGGAGGAATCTGGAAGGCATTATGCTCAGTGAAGGTAGTCCCTTGAAAAAGGACAAATATTGTATAAGACCACTAGTATAAGAACTCCAGAAAAGGTTTAAACACAGAAGAAAACATTCTTTGATGGTTACAAGGGTGGGGAGGGAGGGAGCGGGGTATTCATTAGCTAGATTTTAGACAAGAAGTATCTTAGGTGAAGGGAAGGACAACACACACTATAGGGGAAGTCAGCACAACTGGACTAAACCAAAGCTAAGAAGTTTCCTGAATACAACCAAACACTTAGAGGAATAGAGTAGCAGAGGTAGAGGTCTAGGGACCATGGTTTCGGGGGACATCTAGGTCAACTGGCATAACAAAGTTTATTAGGAAAATGTTCTGCATCTCACCTTGGTGAGTGGCATCTGGTGTCTTAAAAGCTAGCGAGCGGCCATCTAACATGCATCAATTTGTCCCAACCCATCTGGAGGAAAGGAGAATGAAGAACACCAAAGACACAAGGAAAGTTATTAGCCCAAGAGACAGAAAGGGCCACATAAACCGGAGACTTCATCAGCCTGAGACCAGAAGAACTCGATGGTGCCCAGCTACCACCAATGACCGCCCTGAGAAGGAACACAACAGAGAGTCCCTGACGAAGCAAGAGAAAAGCAGGATGCAGAACTCAAATTCTAGTAAAAAGACCAGACTTAATGGTTTGATTGAGACTGGAGGGACCCCGGAAGAAATGGTTCCCAGATTCTCTTCAGACAAAGATTAGACTGGTCTATGTGACATAACACGATACTTGTGGAAGAGTGTGCTTCTTAGCTCAAGTAAATACATGAGACTAGGTGGGCTGCTCCTGTCCAGGGGATAGATGAGAGGGCAGAGATGGTCAGGAGCTGGCTGAATGGACATGGGAAACCCGGGGTAGAAAGGAGGAGTGTGCCGTCACAGTGCAGGGAGAGTAACTAGGGTCATGTAACAGTGTACGTATAAATTTTTGTATGAGAGACTGACCTGAACTGTAAATTTTCACTTAAAGCACAACAATAAAAAATAAAATAACAAACTTGGGCTGAGTGAATCCTTTAGCCAAATTACTTATCACTTAAAACTCATTTCTTCACCTGCAAAATGGAAATGACCATAATACCTACCTACCTCACTGTTTTGGGGAGATTAGTGAGATACGCATCTAAAGTCCACTGTACAGTACCTTCTACTTACTAAATGCTCAACAAACATTTGTAATCATTATTGTCTGCCTTGCCTGATTAATATTTATTAGAATTGAATGAAACATTTAAGTGAAGATACTTTATACACTACAAAGCACTGTATTTTAAATGCTATATTATCATAAATAATAAAAGAATTACATCAAATAAAGCATAGAATAAAATTAATATAAAAATATATTATTTAATAAGAAAAATAAATTAAGGCAGAAAATGGGCATTAAAAACTGTTAAATTTGCCAGAGAAATTAACAATCTTTATTGCAACAAATTTCATTTAAAAAATTTAAACAAACAGGCCCTGGTGGCACAGTGGTTAAAGCACACAACTGCAAACCAAAAAGGTCAATGGTTGGAACCCACCAGCTGCTCTGCAGGAGAAAGATGTGGCAGTATGCTTCTGTAAAGATTTATAGCTTTGGAAACCCTAAGGGGCAGTTCTACTCTGTCCTATAAACAGCGGGTTTTGGTGGGTTTCATTAAAAAAAAAAAAAAAAAATTATCCCAGGTGCCCTAAAAAAGAAAACTAAAACTTAATATGAAAGTATAGAAATTTTAAAGAAAAAATACCACAAGAAAATCTGAAATAATACATATGAACATTTGTCGAGAGTATCTAGTTCCACACAATTTTTATTGGAAAGGAACTAGAAGCGGCTCCTAGACTTGTGACCGTGTATCTGTCCTCATGAATGTGATTACACCATAGATCCTATTTTGAACGATTATTATCCCATTTCCAATACTCTGAAAAGCATATCAAGCCAACTTCTTTCAGCATATAAGGTAAGTCATTTCATATAACAGAATCTAGAATTTCACAAGGATTTGTGTCTGCTCAACTTATTTTTTAAAACCAGAATGACCTGGTACAAAAGTATACTATCTTAAGAAGAAACACGGAGGAGGTATATTATATATAAATCCTTGAAGCTTCACTTCCCCCCAAAGATCTGCTGCCTATCTATTTTTGAAAACTGAAGAAATCAGAGGAAAAAAGCAATTTTTGGTTCCATTAGGTTTGTAGGAAAACGAATGGGGTGCCTGCTGGCAGGAAATTTAATGTAGTTAGGATGTGACTGAAGCAATCAGAGAGCATTTTTTACTTTTGTTCGCATGACAGATTAAGCTTGCTGCTCTCACAGTTCTTAGCTGCAAACGCCACTTCAAATAGCCTACAAATACTCATAGGGTTTGCAAATGAGGAATAAAGGAGGTTTTTAAAACTGAAAATCCTCAGCAAAGCAAATTTAGCTTTCCATGAGCCTTCTCTCTGAAGAAGATGGTTGGTTAACCCCTTAAAAGAAGACTGGAGCTACAATCAGTGCATGTCTAACCATAACCCATAGCAAATTACAAAAGGCCCCTGTGAATAACCACAAATTCCATTTTTCTCACCTTTGCACCCTGGATGGGGGAGCAAATATGCCATATCTTGGAGAACAACTAAAATACTGCACACCTCCAACTGAACCATCATTCTTGCCATGGGGTTTTTCAAGCTCAATACCGTACCAATATCCTAGAACATGAAGATTGGATTTAAAAGCATCTGCACTTTATCCAAAATTGTCATGGTATTATACAATCCAAAGACTAGATGCTGTAACATTTTCACAAATGACCAGAATGATGGAAGAACATCATAATCATTAAGCTTCCAAATAATAAAATTACAAAAATAAAATTTGAAAAGTAAAAAGGAAGTACATTTTACCAGCATACGTAATTGCAGAAAGGTACATTAAGGGAGGAAAAGAAAAATGCACAAACACAAATTTGGCAAGGATTAGCTATTATGCAAGTAGTATATGACCAAAATATATCTAAAAACTATACTAAATAAGAAACTGTCCTTAATGTGGTACTATAGTGTGTTAAGGTGAGAGAAATGAGATGTATAAATCATCAAATGAATATGCAATCTTGCCATTATACCCTTTCAACATTAGAACACCAAAAGCAGTTCCTAAACAATTAAAAGAAGAATGAGAATAATATGGAAAATACCACTCACTGGACATCTTGGTAATTTTCTGCCTTTTTCCCCCATCCAGGATGAAAAGAAAAATAATTTTTAACCAAAATGAAAAGATTTAGGTTAGCTAATAGGAAGAATTTTCTAAAAGGCTTTTAAGTATTTAAAAGGACTTGCTCTGAGAAAAGTAATGAGATTTCCTTTTCGAGGTAACCTAAAATTAAAATAATGAGGGTACTTTTAGCATGGTTTATCCCAGTATTAGGTAAATGGACAAACATTCCTAGAGTAAGAATTCTGGAATTGAGGGTGCCGCAAGACCAGTTAAAAATGCCTTATTTTTTTTAAATCACTGTGATTTAAAAGAAGAGTAAAGTAGCAATTGTATTTGGTCTCTTGAGAGCAGTACCAAATAAAAAATAAGGACATAGATATTGAAAAACTTATTGCAAATTACAAAATACAAATTAAATATACTGGTTTCTTTCAGATTACTAGTTCAAAGAGTCAATTATATAAACTCTAAAATACCAAGCTACAAAAAGTTCTTAAGATGATACCTGACCCCAATTCCAGGTACTGAAGTAAAGGTTAAAACAACTAATGAATGACCTTTTTATACTTACACAGCCCTACTATGTATAGGCACAGAGCAATGTCTACAAGCCTACTGCTTAGTCATACCAATGCTCTGAAAACAGGTCATCACATTTTTGAATGTTTTAAACCAGATTAGTCCGGTTGCCATCATTATTTCACTGAGTGCCAGTTATAATTTTCCAAGTTTTACTTCTTTCTTCCTTTGACGCTTTCCTATATAATTTTTTTCATTTTCCCACTTTAATTTACCATATAACTGATTTTTGATGCTCTGCAACAACCCGTCTCTTGAAAATGTGTAACATGGTAGAAATATATTATGACAAGTGTTAACGATGGTAGCTACACAGTGTATGGTAGTGGTGTGGCATGAATACCTTCCCATTTAAATGTTCATTTTCTTTCAGAGGTGGTACTGATAAAAATGTTACAGAGGAAGCTAAACATGACCTCTTCTCAGGTCTAAATCTTATAATCTATAAAAAGCTTAGATATTACAACTGTCCTGTAGGATTGTTTATCTAAATTTTGATGCCACAGAAATACATGCTACTTTTTTAAGGGCAGAATGACTTTAACAAACAAACATTTCCAATTTTTATTATATTTGTTTATTATTTCCAAAATTTCTAAATGCTTTACATTAGGAATTTAAAAATTAAAATTCAACTTAAAAAGCTAAATTGTATCCTAAGAATCAAACCATTCTAGCTTTGCTTAACTTAAGACGGAAAAACAAACTCCAAAGACATATGGTCATTGAGAAAATTAACCTACATTTGAGATTTCAAGCTTTTATCTAAGAACTATTATTAAGAACATCCTAACTAATCTCAGATACTACCTGGAGACCTGAGAGAAACATGAATTATAAAATATATAATTCATTTCAAATCAGTCAGTTGAACTGCAATTAAAAGTGGTTTTAATGAAACAAGAATGTGCTGGGAGACAATTCTCCATAGCACACTCATGTTTCTTGCGTCTAGTGGGTAGAGGCATTGACTGCCTTTATTCCAAGCTATCTTCTCACGGATGTTTATATAGGGGACAGTCTTGGACGATAAAGAGTGTCTCCCCCCAGAACAAAAGACAGGCATGCTTATTGTTCAGTGTCAAGGTTCAGATTCCTTAAACTCAGGGTTCCTCTCCTGTAACGTAAATCCTGAGGTGTGTGGGTGCCACCTGGCCCTCTTTGTATCATCCTGTGGAAATTGGGAATCAAGGAACCAGCATAAGAAAATACTGATGCTCTGGCTACAGCTATTGCTGTGAGTAATAAAGTCCTCTTCTCTGACCCAGGAGTCTCATATCTTCTGCCAACATCCATGAAACTGTGGCAGGCTAACTTGTTAACTTGCAAATAGGGTAAAATCTCAGATCCTTCACAGTTGTTGACAGAATGTTAAACTTTTTTTTCTTTAATCAATTTTCTAGCTTATATTTTCATAAAATGCTGCAATGCCACCATGTGTCAAAATAGTATATTGCTATTTAAAACATATAGAACATGGTTTCATTCAAATGGCTTCTATTTAAAATCACAATCACTGAAAATGTAAAAGAAAGATAATCTTTACTTTGAAAACACAATATTAAGTCTAAATTAAGTCTAACTTGGAATGAATATATAAATACACAAACATGTATTTTTTAAGGACCTAGGGTTCGTAAAACCTTTTTCATTTTCCTTAGAACTCTTTTGTGCACTTTTCTCTCCAAGCCACTCTGATAAAAGATACTCAACTCATTATCTACTCATTTCAGAGATCATCCTTAGCAAAAATCTAATCCTAAAATGTTTTCCCTGTTGCTGAGCACATTCTGTAATCAGTGAGAGTAAAATCAGAGAGTGACAACCAATTTTATCATTAGATATAAAACATAGCGGGCAAGAAAAATTTACTGGTAACAGTCAACCTGAGTAAAAACAGTCTTAACCATTGGTTAAGTTTTAATCATTGTTCTGAATTTTTCTGTGCCATACTTGAACTGTTAATCAAGAATTCCCTATAATTAAATTTCATTTACATGCAAAATTGTAAACCTTTTATATTCTAAAGAATTCAAATTGAACAAAGGATATACAGGTAAGTTACCTGGAGCAAAGTTTGTTGTCCCAAAGAACTTAATGGTCCCAATTCTCTGGCCTACAACCAACACTCTGTCTCCAAGGAGGAGTTCTCCTTCACAACGGGTATTATTTGCTACAGATGTTGCTGAGGAATTCAAACCTGTTTAATTGGTTGGCCGGGGGAGGGGGGCAGGGTGGAAAAAGGGGAGAGAAAACAAACAAGAAAAAACTCAAAAAGCACATTAGCCAAAATACCACTAAGTATTCCAACCAGTCTAATTAGAGAGTTCGATATTTGTTGCCTTTCATTATTTATATCATCTACAGTTGTGTTTCTCACTTGTGAGGTCAAGGTACTCAAAGGGAATTTGAAGAGCTTCCTGAGAAAATTATTGCCAGAGGTAAACATGGGAAATTAACACAACCTGATTCCTCGTAAAGTATCAACTCTACCAGGGTTGACTGGCTCACTCAGCTAGAACAGAAGTCAGCAAGCTTTTTCTATGAAGGGCCAGATAGTAAACATTTTAGGCTTTGTGGGCCATACAGATTCTGTCATAGCTACTCAACTCTGTTGCTGTAGCACAAAAACAGCCACAGACAATATGTAAACAAGTGGGCATGGCAGTGTTCCCATAAATTTTTATTTACAAAAACAGGTGGTGAGTCCAATTTGGCCTATGGGCCATAATGTGCCAATCCCTGTTCCAGCAAAATGTCAGATTATAGTAGTTCACTGGGAGTCTGTGTAAACAATACATACAAGAATATGATTTGAAGGTACAATTGCTATGAAGTTCCAATTACCCCAAATTGATTTCCTCATTAGAAACGAAACCACTCTCCCCTCATCTATTCAAACTTAAACCCTGAAATGTCAACTGTTAAACAGCAGAAGTACTAGAGAAATACTATCTCTAGAAAGCCGTTCAAATACAACAGCTGTAAGAGAAGCGGTAGGCCCTTGAGCCTTCTCCTATTAGTACACGAAGAGAGATTTGAGTATCTGTCATCTGGGAAGGCCTAGGGGACCTCAGAGGGCACAGGATGGAGGATAAGTTGCTTGGTGAAAGAGAGAGAAACTAAAAACATGGCAACAAGTAAAGGAACATACACCCACAGAGAAAGAAGGTCTGGATAAAATGCTATACTAAAAAGTTCTAGGCTCTTCTACTAACTGATACTTCCATAGCATGTCACAGTTTACAAAGTGCTTTTCATAAAAATCATAACGATAAATGATTTAGGAATTACCTAAGAGAGTGTTCATAGCTAGTAGGGAGCACACCTAGACTGAAACCCAGACCCTGTGACCAGATGACCTCAGGTCTGTCTCCATGCATCTGTAGACAGTAGGCCAAATAAGGCAAGTTCAAGAGTTGGACAAAATGAGGCTGGGGCCCAGAGAACACAGAATCCCTCCCCTACCTCCTTCATTCCCCCAATCCTTTCTTGCTGCTGTTCTCTCTCAATTCTTAGTCCTAACTTTTCATTATTGTCTACTCTTTGAGGTCCACATCTCCCTCAAATGCAAAACTACAGAAAAGTGGAATACCTACTCACTCTAGAAAAATGTCTTAAGGAAATGTTTCTGGGGTTCCAAACACAGACTTTCTCTCACGTATCTCCTAAGCTTGCTCTCCCTCTCTCCCCTCACCCTCCTCCTGCCCCCCCCCCTTTTTTTTTTCCACCCATAGTTACTGATTTAGAAAGCTGGCAAATACCAAAACCATCTCAAGACCTCAAAAATAGTTTAGTATTTTTAGTAATTAACTGCTGATGCACCTCTAATACTTTTTCTCATCTTCTAAAAAATTCCTCAACCAGAAACTCCGTGCCCCTTCAGCAATAACTCCCCATTCTCAACTCCCCCCAGCCCCTGGTAACCACTAATAAACTTCTGCCTCTATGCATTTGCCCGTTCTAGATATTTCATATAAATGGGATCATAGAATTTTATCCTTTTGTCTGACTTATTTTACTCAATATAATGTTCTCCACCTTCTAAAAGGTCCCCTTTCTCACTCTCTGTTCATCTTCACTATTGTAAGCCTGCCAAACCAAAAAAACCAAATCCATTGCCATCAAGTCGATTTTGACTCATAGTGACCCTATAGGACAGAGTAGAACTGCCCCATAGGGTTTCCAAGGAGCGCCTGGTGGATTCGAATTGTCGACCTTCTGGTCAGCAGCTGTAGTTTTTAACCACTACCCCACCAGGGTTTCCTTGTAAGCCTACAGAACCCTCAAATTTATAAAAAGAAAAGAAGTTAAATATGTATTGTACTAGGAGAAAGTCTTATAAAGGGTAAAAAAAAAAAAAAAAAAAGGTTACTACACACCTACATATAAATTTTAAAATCAAACAAACGTCAAAAGCTCAAACGCCAAATGAAAGTGGCCTTAAAATGCAAATAAATGGGACAAGAGGGATTGTTCCATCATTGTATCCTCTCACCTCTGTTCCTCACAGGGTTGAAGAGAAACTGTTGGGAAGGGGGAAGCTATTCAGAGAACAAACATTCCAGGTAAATATTTTCAGGCAAAACTTTCAGGCCCCCTACTTGTAGGGTCTCACACTTTACATTATTATGTCAATGTTTCATTAAGGCTTTTTTTTTTTTCCCCCATCAATAAAATATTTTAAAGTGAAAAAAAAGTCCTGTTATGAACATTTTATGTAATAAAATATTGGTTCAATACAAGTATTAGAAATATTAGAAAAAGAATCTGGTAATTATTACAAGCTTCATTAAGAACAATTTATGCCAAAATGGTTTCATTGCCTTTCTGGACAAGTTTGTTATATAGGGTAATAAGTGAACTGCAGAAGGTATGTTGATTACAACAAGAAGTCTGATAGTGTTTTATATATCCTTACACATAATGAAAGATATGTGGAATAGCTGCAGAGTTCACAGCTAGTTAAAAGACCATATCCAGAACAGGTTATCATTGCCAACCTGGAAGAGCCTTTGGCCTTCTCCTTGACAAAGTTTTAAACAATGACTTGGCTAAAGAACAGAGAAACCATGCTTTGTAAATGCAAAGGTGTCACAAAGCTAATGTGCACGATGCAAGAAACAGAATCCAGATAGGATGAAACCCCTAAGATTAAATTAAATGAAAATAAATGTAAAGTCTTATATCCAGCAGCAAAATGAAGGGACCTCGATAGGCTCAGTTTGAGCAATAATACATTGTGGTCACCAAATCTGCACACACAGCTTTAGCCTCCTCTATCTGTAACTGAGAGGCAACAGTTCAACTCTATCAGCTGGCTACTGAGGGGTCTGCAGCCCATGCAGTGCCTGTGAGGAAGAACTGCAGGCACTGTGGACAGGGGCAGACTCCAACAGCAGCTGAGAGAGCACAGGCTACGGCAGGCATCAGGCAGACCCAGGGCTGCCACTTAGAAACTGTGTGCCCAAGGACCAGTGGTTTCCTCCCTATGCCTCGGTTTCCTCATCCATAACATTAGGATATTAATAGCACCTGCCCTATAAGTTTGAGAATTAAATGAAATAATGTATGTAAAGTGCCTAGTGCAGTACCTGAAACAGTATTTACAATAAATGTTAGTTATTATTATTAGGTATAGATCAGAAAAGAGGTGACAAACATAATAAAACGTAACAGTTTCCAAGTATCTTAAAGGACTGGAGGCCTTAGATATGTGGGAAAGAGACGTATTCAGTCAAGTTAACGAAAATGGTGAGAGCAAAAGGAGAAAGGAAGAGAAATCGAACATATGTTTACAAAGGCTGAGGGGTAGAGTGGGGGTGGGGGCAGGGAAGAGTGCCAGGAGTTCAATCTGACTGAAGTAAAGAGTTCCTTCTACACATTTAAAAAGAGCAAATCTACTTACAAACAAAACAAGATAAAAAACACCAAGAAAGCCTGGTTGAAAAAGCCATAGATACCAGCACTGGCTCGAGATGAAACAGAAGAGCTTTTGCTCATTGTCTTCTTGTTATTGCTACTTGCACTCAGTTTCTTGAGGTAGTTCTGTTTGTGTTCCAAAGAAGACGTAGAGGAGGAGCTGCTGATGGAGCCAAGCAGGGTAACTAAAACAGGCAAAGAAAAGAAACAGATCAAAGAGTAGAAAATCATAACAGCAGTGGGCCAGTCAGATGCTCTTCCAGGCAAATCTTCCTGAACTCTCCACTTAGCTTCCTCAATCGTGGATTATTTAGTGCCAAATTAAATGCCTGATTTCATCCAAATATATCATAGTTCATACATAAAAGATTTTATAACCTAAGCAATAGTATTCTAGGAATTCACATTATACGATCACAACCTTTTAAAGGAGAGTGTCACCGTATCAATTAGCTTACAATTGACTACCTACTCTATCCCCTCACTTTAGATGAGACAGTAGAGTCCTATCTTATTTATACAAAAAAAAAAAAAGGCATTGGTATGTTTTAAGGAAATAAAAGTTCAATATTAAAATAATTTGAATTAAACTTGATGGCAAGCAAGAAACTTGTGAATTTTCTACTCGTGCTCTCTCTATTCACCTAATGATTTGATAATTAAAGGCAACTTAAACATTCTTGTTTCTTTTCAGCTTTGAATTTTTTGTTGATACCATGTGTTTTCATTAATGGAAGCATGCTGAATCATTGAGAGTGTCTGAATTTTTGTACCATGGATTTTTTTTCTTGCCCCCTCCCACAAGCCTGCCCTAAGTGTTTAGTGGTCCATATGAAGTACCACTAACCATACCCCAAAGCCCCCACCAGGGTATGTTAGTACATATGTGTAACAAATAAAATTTTCAAAATTTATATTTTTCCTACCAAAAATTCAGACACCTCATACAATACCCTGTAAAAACAATAATTTGTGGCACACTCCCATTTCCTCGGTTTCAAACAGTCGTAAAGGCCCCTGCCTTGCAGCAGCATGCACTGTGAGTAGCAGCAGCTCCCAATAAACCCCAGACGCTGAAAAAGCTCGTGGTCGCTATATGTACCACTGGGCACAAAAGGGTTAAAGTTCCATTGGTAAATTAATATTTTGCAAGACAGAAGTTACATATTATATTACCATCTTTTTCTGTTACAGTTTTCGATTCTTCACCAGGAGGTAATGAAAGTATTGATTCAGAAGCACTATCTTTTTTTGATGTCATTAATCCTAGGACACAGAAACACACTGCTTTAAACAAGGGAGAATTTTTTTAACATTAAACGTAAAAATGTATTTGTTTTTTAAGGTACAGGCATCCTTCAGTATCTAAATATTATCCATTTCTGAAAACATGGTGGATAACAAATTCACAGACAGGAGGGGCCAATATTTCACTATTTAAATGGGAAAGATAAGAATGCATTCCCAGTTCATATGAAAACCCCAATCAAAATCCCTAAGTATCACTAAAATATCTTAAACCTATGTAACAATTCACAAAAGACATCTGAATTAATATAAAGCATTTACAATGTTACCTAGTTGTTTGATACACGATGCGCTCATTAACATGTTTGCACAATGCGAGCAGGTAAAGCAAACCTATCACACCTGAGATACAAATGCTGCACACTTGCCAGGACCTGAAAGTAACCTATATGATTTCACTGGTTTGTGCATGCAAATTCATTACAGCAGATTTTCAATTTAGATAGTGAATTCTGGATAAATTTTTTTGCAAATCATTATAAAGACTATTCATTTAAGTGGGAGTTCAGACAGCAAGAAATCCTGTATTCTCTGCCACTGGTATTCTGAAAATGGCCACCCCATCACCTCATCCCACACAATTTACACATACACACACAAAAAAATCACTTAAATAAGCTCTTGAATAATACTCTATCTTAATAAGACTTCTGCTCCAATCCTACAGAACCAAATTATTTAAACAAGAAATCTTGTTTAAATGAACTGTACCCAGTTTTAAACTCTGTCAGGCATCCATTCCAATTCTACTTGTTTAGTAAGCATTCTAGGTGAAGAAATGTGCTTAGGACAGGGCCTTTTCAATTTCATATGATAGGAAGACATGAACATATATAAAATATTAGGGCATTTTTGGTAAGCACTAACATAGAAGGAGATAATAATTGAGGCTAAAAAGATAAATTAATGCCTCATCAAGACCACATCCTGACATGAATCTCGAGAAATAGATCAGATTTATTCCAGAGAATACTGGAGGTTCGGCCAGGAAGAACTGAGGCATTCTAGATGGATCCAGGAAAAAAAATCTTAAAAGACATGATCAGAGAATGCTGAGTAGCTTGCTGGAATAATGACTACTTTTGAGATTTGAGAGAAAACTAGACAGATTGGTCAGGGTAAAATTTAGAGGGTTATCCTGCCCAGCTAAGGAACTAGGTAAAGAATGAGCCTCTTCTGGGCTTTGCAAAGGAGGACTAGCATGAACAGAGTTATAGCTGGATGGCACTACTCTCACATCAAGGTTTATAGAAGGTCACTAGAGAAGGAGGGACAGGAAGCAGAGAACAGTGAGAAGCTACTACAATAGTCCAAGCATGCGGGCCTGAACTAGAACAGCAAGAACTGAACAGATGGGGTAAGAGAACTTTTGTGGGGGCAGACCTTTTGTATACTTCAGTGATTATATTTTTCAGTTCTAAAATATCCGTTTGGTTCTTTCTTTTTATTTGACATTTTTATTGAGATCATTGTTGATTCACATGCAGTTATAAAAATTAACACAGGAATATCCCGTGTATATCTAGCCCAGTTTCCCCCAATGGTAACACTTTGCAAAACTGTAAGATCAAAACTAGGATACTGACATTGATGAAATCCATCAATCCTACTCAGATTACCCCAGTGTTACTTGCACTCATTTGTGTGTGTGCATGGCCATGTGCATATGCATCATTTGGTTCTTCTTTAGTATCTTCTATTTCTGTGCGGAACATTTCTCATTCTGTTTGTTGCAAGAGTATTCACCCTTAGTTCTTGGAGCATGGTTATAATACGTTCTTTAAAGTCTTTATCTGATAATCGGAACATCCATGTCATCTCAGGACTGGCATCCGCTGACTGTCTTTCTCTCTGCGAGACGATTTTCCTGGTACTTCATATTTCGAATAATTTTGGATTGTATCTTGGACATTTTGAACATTATGTTAAGGGACTCTGGGTCTTGTGTAAATCCTATAAAGAGTTTTGTTGTGCTTTGCTTTGCTTTGTTTTGTGTTAGCAGGCAGAGACCCAGTTAGGTTCAGGCTGGAAGTTCCTACTCAACTTCTGTGCCCTGTGGTTACAATGTCAGTTGTTTCCAAAGCCTTTGCAGTGCTATTTGGATCTGTCTTTGTATACTGTGCCACCTAGTGGTCAGCCGGGGACCTAGGCGGTGCTCTACTCAGGATGGTAGGCTGATATGCTGTGTATGGTCAGGTCTACGCATGTGTAACTTGGGAGTAAGCGTGGGTGTTAATATCCAACATTTTGGGTCACTTTCTTTAGCTCCCTCCTCTCCATGATCTCTTAACACTCTTCTCTCCCAAGGCCCCCCTACCCCGGTATGCTGAACAGAATGCCTGGGCTTTAGTTTCCCTACTCTGTCATACACCACTTGAGATTGATCCCGCCTCTGGGGCCAAGTACTGAGAAAAGAGAAGAAAAACTATGGGAGTCCATCCACGTTCTGGAGGCCACAGTTGTTCTGGTCAGACAAGGGCTTTTATCCCTTGGAATTTTAGCACCATGCAGGATTGCCTGGGGACTAGGTGGGAGAGAAACAAAATAATAGTAATAGTAATGAAGCAAGAAAGAAATCAGAGCATTTCCTCCACTCTGTCCAGAGAGACATTCCTGCTCCTCCAACCAGAAAAGAGAGCTTCTCTTGGGGTGTTCTGTCTCAACGTGGTGTGGACTTCCAGGTCTCAGCTTGCCTCTGAGTACACACTGGGAGAGGCCAGTGGGAAAAATCCCAGGAAGCCCACAATTGGCTCTTGGTATTTCAAATGTTTTCCTTCCTTAATCTGCCTGCTACCATTTATTTCTCAGAGTCCTCAGGTAGTTGCTCCATGCATCCAATGCAGGGTTTTTAGTTGCGTTCAGTAGGAGAGGCTGCGTGGTATGTGCTACCCCATTGTAACAGGAATCTGGAACGTCCCCCCACAATTTTATTTAACTTTTTTTCCTGCTTATTTTCCATGAAATAGTTCATCTTTATAGTTCCAAAATAAAATCCTGTTGTCCTTTTTATTGCAATTATGTTATCTCTGTAAAGAAACTTTTATAAAGCTGATACTTTTTAATACTTAGTTTTTACATGCAGAAACAATATATCCTTAAAGCTATTAAAAGGATTTTTAATTAACTCTAAAATTTTAGAGATTTTAAAAATAAACGTCTCTCATGTTTTGTGTTATTCCTAAGTATTAATGTTGCTATTTTAATTGAACAACTTTTTGCATTATATTTTCTTACTATTTGTTGGCAGAATACAGGAGTACTACTAGTGCTGTTCATTGCTACTGAATTGAGCCACTTTGTTAAAAGATTTTATTAACTTTAGTTATTTTTAACTGATCTTGGGTTTTCTAGTTTTATTAATCATATCGTCTACAAAGTATTCTTCATTCGCATTATTTCAAATTTCATATATTTTTTTCACTTCATATTGTATACTGCAAGAAGTCACAAAAGCTTTTTCTCCTATATTTTTGTCTAAGGTTATAGCATCACCATTCTCCCTGTTATTCACTACTAAAAATTTTGAGTTATCTGTGACTCTTCTTCATTCTTACTGCTAATATCTAGCTCACTGCCAAATTCTATTACAAATGAACAAACAGTCCTCATTTGCATAGTAGTGTGGGACCATAAAAATTACTATGCAAGCTGAAACCATGCCAAGTAACTTCATACTCATTGGGGAAAATGAAGATTGTCCCATGACCTTTGAAAATTTTTGTCAAAACATTAAAAACTTTCTTATTGTCAATTAGAAATGCATAGGAAAATAAAAATAGTAAAATAAATATTAATTCAGTACTCTGTAATTTAAAACAATATTGAGAACTAAAGTGTTTTCTTTGGGAAAAAACTTGTCAAGCATAGTTTCAATAGTGCTCGCCTTCTTATTCTCACTGTATGATTTATGATACAAAATGAGCATCTTTTCTATGCCTTGGCAAATCATCATACTCCTTTCTATCTTTGAATTAGCTTCCAGTATTTCATTCTTTTCACTTTCAATGTTGTAAAATATCTGAGTGTTCCTTTAATGTGCCTTTTTTGCTAATGTCACTTCCTCTAGGACATCTTTGTCCTTGCCATCATGACTACTTTCCTCATTCATGTCGATAAGTTCACCTTCACTAAGCTCCTGTGGATGACTATCTAGCACCTCTCAAATGCTGGCAGTGTCAACATGCCAATGGTCAGCCATTTCTTCTATATCTCCGTTTATGTTTAATTCAAATTTCACTTTCAACATTATTACTTTTCATTTCCTTACTGCACTTTCATCTTTGTTTGCCAATTCTCTCTTTGAATTATCCATTTTTGTAATATGTTGCATGCATTTATTACTGGGAGACAAGAAGGCACCCCAACTACACACTTTGCTGTGTGCATAAACTCAATTAACAGATGTGCAGTGACCAATCACCAACAGACTTCAAAAGAAGTGGCATGATTGGTCATCTGTTATTTACATAGTGAATTCTGGACTAAAAGGCTAGCAGTGATGTTTGTACTTTGTGTAATTACTCACATTTAATATAGCATGGTAACTTAAATTTAAACTATGTTGTCGAGGGGCTCATGTTATGTAACTAAACTATGATAACAAATTTATGCATATCATAACTATGTAAAGCAAGGACTACCTCTACATATATTTTAACCATAGAACAAGGCCCTCAAAAAGCTATACAGAGATACCATTAAAAAGTCAATAGACAAATTAAAATGTAGTACAACAAAATATTCAAGTAATTCAAAAGAAACAAGGAAAGAGGAAATAGAAACAAAAAACAAAGGACAGAAGCAGAAAACAAATAATAAAATGGCAGCCCTAAATCCAAATATACCAATAATTACATTAAAAGCAAATGGTCTAAACATACCAATTAAAAGGCAAAGATTGTCTAAGTGGATTAAAAAAAAAAAACATATGCTGCCTATTATAAGAAACTCACTTTAAT